GATAGGGTTAAACATTTTTAGATGTTGGAAACCAACATATATCGAACTTTTAGATACCTCAAAACATATTGATCATGAGTAGAGCTCATTTTTCTTTACCATTAGCATTTTAAATGCATGAACAGACTTTTATTGTGTACTTCGTTATTTTATTGCAAAAAATAACTTATAAAAAATAATGTATATTTTTCAGAGACCAGATAATAAGTACATCAATTATCATAAAATATTTAATTTATTTGTAAAAATTTTGTGATGATTTGACATTCACTTCTAGTGCAATTTTTACTTTCGAAAGAAATCTGTAACACTAGAGATTTATTTATTACATACTAGATATTTTGTCAGAACAGCAAGATTACCCTAAAATTAAAAATTTTAGGTAAATAAAGATAGATAAAGTGTGATTTGATTTGGCAAATAGATTTATAGAAAATATAAATACTCACTACGAGTAACACAATCACGAAAATGTTAGTCCACTCTTCGATCGTTCGATTGGGCACCAAAAACCAAGAGTAAGTCTAGATTGAGTTCAATCAAAATATATTAAATATCAAAATCAATCTGTTCATTCAGAAACGCCAATAGAATTTGTTAAAGACCCCGAAATTTTCCTAAAATCTTTGAGATTTACAAAGTACGACAATTGACCAGCGAAGTAAATCTCTTACTTCAACGTGACAATCAAAACTATTTGTTTAAACTGACTTCTCAAACACGTTCTATTATTAGTTATTCTTATCTTCTTGTTCTTACTTTCTGGTAAAGTTATAGTGTTGGCGGATGGGTTCATCTAATATGGCCAACTATTAATTTATTGGCGTAGTAACAAATTTCGTCTAGATTGTAGAAAAATACCAATTATCGTATTTGATACATTTATCAATAACCTACTGCTGCCGTATCAATATATCGTCACACTGTATTAAGAAATTTAAATTGTGTTTCATTTTCAATCTTAGCAAAGCCGTTTTCATCATTTAAGACTTAAAAAAAAAAAAGTTTTGAGTCTCTGAACCCAATCTGGTCACCATTACCGACAGTAACTCATGGCAATATATTTCCGGCCTTATTTGCTTTCATTGGTTAAAGAATAAAAACGCGCAGTTTTTTTGTCACCTGTCATATTCAGTTGACAGCTCGAAGCCTCATATTTACTGAGCATATTGTGATATTTACTTTCCTTACATGTGCGTAATAATATCACAATATTTATGTATAGTATTTAGTTAAAATTCTATTTATATAACATTTGGATATCCTTTTTGGTTATATAAAAATTATGTAATATTTGAAATAAGGCAGCATTTGATACTCATGAGGGTAAAATGTATTTACATAATTGAAATCATTTTTTTGAGATTGTATATCTATTAAAAATATTTTTAATTAATTTCTGCATTAAATTTTTTTAATAAATTTGTTTCAGTATGAATTTTTTTTTCTATACTGGTAATTTTTTTATTATATAATTACGAGTATATGGATGGAATAATCGAATGTAGCCATCGACTGACTGATTCAGAAATTGAACCTTACACATTTCTCGAGTAATTTAATTAAAAATGATTTTATTGTATATATTTGATGTGATTGCAATATTTTTGCTGTTGCCACAATTATTAAATATTTAATTTTTTCTTATTGGAATTGCAGTATTTGCCCACAAAATGCTTACAGTGATGAACAAATTTATTTAAAGTTCGAGCTGTCATTTTTTTGGTTGATCAAATTGGCAGAGATAAAATGATTTTATGATATTTTTATTAACAGATATTTATTTGCAATTAAAATACAGTTAAGAGCGCAATTTGTACATGAAATAAGTCATCACATTTGTGTGTCTGGTGTCCTTTAAATTCTTCGAATAATGGACTTGAAAGTAGCACCAAACAAAAGCATCACTAAATTTAGAGTTCTAATGCACATAGGTCTATTGAAAGAGATGGAAATAAATGGAATTATTCAAACAGGCATGGTTAATATACCATATAATATAATAATGAATACAAGTATTACACTAATTCAAAATTTTAATCTCTTTTTGCATGAACAGACTTGCATTTTACACAACTCAGAGCAAACATAATTTTATTTTCTTGAAGAGAGTGGCTTTTAAGTGGCTTTTGTCCTCTTAACTTATTTCTCCAAAAATCTAGTTTTACTGTTCAAAAAAAATTGATGTATTACAATAACTTCCATAAAGAAGATATATTCGCTTCTCAATTTCAAACAGTAATTATAAAGAATTTTACTAAAATATCGTATTGTCTTATTCGTACGAGTATTGCTAGTGTTCCATATTGTAGACAAAAATATAAATTAAACAAAGGCAACCTTCATAAAAATAAATATTAGAAAAATGATTCGCAAAAGGTCCGAATCATTCTAATAGATACATTTTTTTAAACGGTTTTTAAAAAAAGGTCAAATTTTCAAAAGCAATGACTAATTAGAAATTGCCTATATATTCCTAACTAGCGTGTTTATTAAATTTATTTTAATTAGAATTACTGGGAATATTTTATTATCTACAGGACTCTGGCTGTTTACATAGCTTAAAAATGAAATCTAAAACTTTAACAAAAATTCAAAATGATTTGTTCAGTTGTCATTGCCCATATGGTTCAGTGAGTTGGCCCCTTCGCAAGCACCAACTTTAACGACCCATTGGGAACATAATTCATTCAATTGGAAAGCCGAAACTTAACTGAAGTTCGATTGAGCGCATCCAACGAAGAAACGAGCAAACTTCAGCAAAGCGCACATTTATTGATTGAAAACTGATGACTTTCATCCAACAGTAGACAAGGATTGCCTGTGTCCGCGTCAAGCAAAAAGTGCTGCACTTTATAGTAAAAGGGCAAAACTAAAGCGATTGTTAGCTTCTTATTTTCTAGTCTATATAAATTGTTTTAATAATGTTAGAAAAATTAAAGGCACATTAAAATGTATTTAAATATTTTTCTTTCGATATTATTTTTAATCTCATAAATGGGAAAAGGAAAAATATTTGTGGTGAAAATTCTCACAGGTCACAGCGTACTTTGCAGGATGGCAGGCTTTTAAATTATTTCTTAATCAATTTTATGCAAAATAGTATTATTTAGTGCAGGAAGACTCAAAAGAAAAAAATCTTATAAAATAAACACAAGGACGAATATAGGAAGGGTGCCCGGGAAGTGACTATACTGATGTTGTTTTTACAATTAAGTCATATGGTAAATGTAAATTATTTTTCCTGTGTTGCGAACGAAGGGTAGTGCACATGGTAGTGGGTATCGTGTACAGAACCTAGCCCCTTGAATGAGAAGCAGTAAACATACCACATACTCGTACACATACTTCCAGTTGCAACGACGCTCACATGTTTGCTACTTTCATAATCCAGCAGAGTCAGAGCAGTGAAGTTATCTCTCCATGTCATGCCACAAAATTAAATTTATTTATAAATTATAATTTATCTAAAAATATTTAAGTTGAAAAACTTGCATGAGATACGGGTTATGGTACTATCCTCTGCTATAACAATTTGAGGACGAAGCTATGACGAGTAGAGAACGTGTTGCATGTGTGCTCCTCAAATGGCGCTTTGAATGCGGGTTTCGATTGTGTGTGTGAGAGTTCCTGTCTGTATGTACTTGCATGTATTTTCGGGGCTTGTTAGCTTAAGCCACACATTATTAACATTCGATTGAAAGTTAAACGTGCGAATAACCTTGCTTAAAACACGTAACACGTATCCTTATCTCAGGCACGTACTGAGAGCTACAAATGCATAATCGTATATGTGTTTCCGTAATTAATTTAAAATTTAACGTTAATGCAGGTCACTTAAAGGATCTATAGTAGTTTTTTTCAAATAGAGTTTTTTCTGTAGTCCATGTAATGCCTAGTCATGATGTGAATACTTTTGTTTTGTTCGAAACTGAATAAAGTCCTTTTAAAATCCATCTATTCAAATTTATGTTTTATAGAAGAAAGTACTTTGATTTATTATATTCGATTATTGCAGCTATGGATCAGAGACTATCTTAAAAGCTGCTTGAAAACATACTGTGACATATGACATACTTTGAGTTCATTATTTCGATAATTACTAAGCAATTTAATATTAATCAGTAAATTTAATGAAAGGGGAGGCAGTGAGTATACAAGTAAAATTGTGTAATTACAATTATCTTGCTAAATGTCAGCATGATCGTTTCCACAACTCTCTCCAAGAATATCCAAAGCTTTATTGAAACGTTAGCGAATAGGTACCTTATACCTCATACCTCATAGTGAATTAAATTATTGTATGTAGAATATGTTACCAAACGTTATTGCACTGAATAGAAAAAATTAAGAAATATCTCCCAAAAAATAATAAACTCTCCTTTCAACTAAAATAATAAAATATGGATTATGAAAATATTTACATCAAAAAGATGTAAAGGTCGTGTATGAGGTTATAAAGAGTTATATATATAAATGAATTAATTTAGTATTATTGATGCGACATTGCTTTTGAAATAAATATTAGTTTTTAGATTTTTTGCTTACTACAGATATGTGGTCTACCATTTTTGTTATCCTTTACATGTAGAACCTTAAAATGTGATCCGTTAAAGAATTTTTTTTTTATATTTAACATTTTAATTTTATTGTTAGCCCAATTTTACTATAACCTTACGATTTTGTGAGTGAACTCAAAAAAATAAGACTTTTATACATTGTTTAGCTTATTGCAGAAATATTATCTGTAAACATTTTTGTTGGCTGACTTTGATTTTATTATCGCTTTAAATTTCATAAACGAATTTATGGAAAGCGTCTCAAAAATTTTGAATTTTGCTACGTTCCACCCAATGAAACGTAGTGAAATCATAAATCGCATTGAAACCCAGCATGCATAAATTCCCTGAAAGCCAATATGGCGTTTTATGTGCTGACGTGCGCGGCTTTCTGGCAGCTTAAACATCATAAATAACGTAAATATGATAAATTGAACTTACCGTCGTACCCTCGTAGCCATTTGTCAGCAGCTGAATATCAATTTCAATATCCAAGTCCACTTTGGTGGTGGTCAGTTGAAGTGGCAGGTGATCTGCTATGCCTAAGCTGGAGTTAAGCGCAATAAATGCACTGTGGTTTTTGCCGCTGCTGGCAACACTGCTGCCATTTATTGGAGTTGGTGTTGTGGTGACCGTGCCGTTTGTGAATATGGCAGCCAACGAAATGGCGGTTGTACTAGTCGCACTCATTTTTCGTATATACTTCTTTCCCAGTGCTTTACTCAGTTTCGTTTCGTTTCGTTTTTATTTTTTGTTATTTATTTTTGATTTTTTTCTTCTAAGTTGCGTGCTCGAATTAAACGGAAGCAACGGTTGTTGCAACAAAAAATACCGATTTCTAGCATAAAGGAACTAAAAAAATAGGTCAAAATAAAAACGTAAACGTATACGAATTGAGGTTAGGTTCTCCTTATTTCCGATGGTTCTTACGTTTTTGTATTAATTATTAATTTCATTTATTTTGTTGGGAATTTTATTTTTTTTCTGGTTACTAGTTACTGGTTACTGGTTACTGGTTTTGTAGATTGTTTTCTGCTTTTGTGGCACAATTTTCGTTTTTAATTCTTCATTTTCAATATCTGTTTACATTGGTAGATAAATGTAATGTAAAATATAGCATAAATTTCAAAACATTTTCTACGTCCATATCCGTTCACGAAAATTAAATACCGAACGGAAGTAATTCATATGCGCAATAAAATTCTCATTTTATAAGCGGAAATTGCAAATTTGCAGCCGAGCACAGGACAACTTGTGATAGACTGACTATTTTTAAATAAATTTTATATCTAAAACGAAACACAACAGCAATGATTTATTTAAATTTTTTTGTTTTATTTTTTATTTTTTATTTCTAATTTTTTATTTTCTATTAAATATTTTATTTCATAAAGTTCTTAATGGCGCGTTAAGTGAAGAGATTTACTTCACTTACATCTCTTGATTTTTAGAATGCACACTAAACATCAAAAATTCTATATTGGTTATTATAAGTTATTGTTAGTTTAATTTTTAAGATGATAATTAATTTTTGACAATATCACCAATGTTGCAAATTTAAAAAAATTTTTAATTACTTAAATTTTGTTGAATACACTGTAATCTCTGCTATTACGATTTTTCCTAAAAGTTTTGAATATATAAAAATAAAATTAGTTGGATAAATATTATTTTAAAAAATTAATTGTAACTGTTTTTTTAAGTTATTGTTATAAATATTCCATTAATAATATGGAATGATAAATAATAACATATGCGATATAAATACATGCATAAATGTGTAAAAATATAACATTAAAAAAATTTAGATTTGTATATTATAAAGTATACGGAAGGCGTTCGTTTGTTTAGAATTTCGTAGATATATATGTATATTCAAAATACTGATCTTAAGTTTCAACAGGAAGAACACATCTAATCCGTTTTAGGTGTACAAAATTGAAATATTACATTTGTAAGTGTGTGGTCAATCCAATGAAAGCAATTCTGCAATTGGAGAATTCATTTAAAATGAAATGATTAACTTTAAACATAAAAATTATTACCCTGGTCATGAATGTCATTACTATTCATCAGCTAAAATAATAAATACTGAGACTTACATTGGAATAATTATAATGTACATTTTTTCTCAACCATTGAAAATATTTACGCGACTTATTGTGCACTTCTACATTAGTCTTATCCATAATTAAAAAGCTTTAATTTTTTTTTTGTGAAATAATTGTCAAAACTTAAGAAGAATTATTGAATTAATCAATAATTCCTCTTAGGTTTCATATTAAATGAACCTTTGAAAAGAATACAAGCTTCAACATATCAATATGCATATCTAAAAAAAAATATCTATTTTGGCTTATTATTAGATAATGCATCTATCTATCTTCTCAGAGGGTAAAATCACATGTTTGACACATATATTTGTATCTACTTGCCTTCTTCTAATTTTGTACCGTTTTTGTGGACTTAAAATGTGTTGGATCATTTATTATTTACCAATGGTTATCAACAATGTTCGGGTGAATATAAGCACATCTTGAGTTAAACTTAGCTCTACAATGGTACAAAATTCCTGGAAATGGCAATCTGACATGCTGATGAAGAGTAGACTTATTTAATCTTCATTCATTTCCTCCAAATTGCAGTCACGAAAACTAAAGAAGCTCGATAGTTGTATTTGTTAGCACTGTATTACTTAAGTTATTAAATATAATCAAATCTCATTAAGAATAACAGTCATGATTCAAGTAGGCAAAGACTGCTAATTGCTTTAGAATGTATGTACATCTTTACAAGTTATCTGTAATCTTATGCTGTGCTGTAATCCATTTTAAATACACATTATTTTATATCAACCCTGGCTTTGGTTATAAGCCATATAAGATCTTATTGAAGTTTACTAGACTAAGAATTATTAGTTTTTTATGCTTCATCAAAATTAAATGACACGCAAAGTTTTTAAAAATATATTCAATATATTCATATATAATGTATTTTATGGAAAGTTGGGAGCGTAAGACTTTTTACTCCATAAAAAATCTTTGAAATATTTTAGTGGAAAGCATATGTATGAAAGTGCACTTCAAATAGTTTACTTTTGATTTGGTTTAGGAATATGTTTGGTGTGTTTATAATGCATAAAAGTGTGATGAGTATGATCTCTTCTATCTAAAGATCACTTATTGCCTTTCTGAAACATTAATGTGAACAACTATGTGAAATTATGTGTTTTGATCTTCTGCTCTGTTTTTATTCAAATTATTATATATAGACTATACATTTTTGAAAGAAAAGTATTACTATATGTGTGTTCTAAATAATGAAATTATTTTAAAATTTATTATGTTAAAATTTTTTCAGCACATTTGTAATAATATGAAATGGATAGTAATCATTGTCATTAATTGACATATATCACAAAATTAATTGTAAGTTATTACCTTTCGACGCTTATGCCACTCATTACTTGATGATACCAACAGATTCGTCCTGCGATCAGGACTTGTTGGAGCACGTAAGTTTGCATTAGTATGTAGGCTGTATGTGTGGTGCCTACTTATATTTTATATCTAAATTATTGCTTAATTAAGAACTTAACTTACAAAATACTTTAACGTTAAAAAATCATTAATGTAAAATTAATTTTAAATTTGAAAAAGTAAAGGAGTAGGCATGTAGAGAAATAATTTATTTTATACTAAATCTTTTTAAATTGAGTGAAAATAATAAATCTTAAGATTTTAAAATAGTTTGGAAACTTTTTAAATTAATTTTGTGTTTCTTGCCTATCACATAATATTTCAATTAAATCGAATTTGAAAATTTTTGATTTTTATTTTTCGGTTTCTTCATTGTTATTATTGTTATTGTTTAATTTAATTCAATTTTTTTTTTGAAATCTAAATTATAATTGTCGATTGTAGTATTATTGTTATTATTATTATTTAATTTAATTTTAAAATTTTGCTCAAATCCATTATGATCACTGTTGCCGCGTTTCCCGCTTGTCACAACACCCGCATTTTTTCTTTGTTGAGCCACAACAATGCAATCTACATAAATTCTATTTAATTCAGTGTGTTCAGAAAGCTTAGCACAAATTGTTTGGTGAACCGCTTCAGAATTTCAAAATCAAACCGCACGAGATGAAAGCTTAACGTTGACTGAAATGTTTCTTGTTGTGCATAGCCGTTGGCATCCATCCATTCACAGCAGCAGCGCGACTACCTCAAGTTATCATTGGCATATTCAAAAGAAGAATCCTTAACACTGTTGTTGTTGTCATAGTCCATATTATTGGCGTGTTGGTGTTTGCTATTGTTGTTGTTGTTTATGAAACAAATCAAAAGCGCTTTAAAGTATGCAATATATTTCGCTTTTATGTTCGACAACATTGCAAACCCCACAGCGAATTGTAAGTTGTACTTTTGTGTGTGTGGCAATAGCTTGAGTAGATTCAACAGGATGTATGGCATTGAGTGGGCGAAATATGTGCGCAGCGCATCATACAATAAAGACAAAACAAAACACGGAGCTTTCTCTCTCGCCAGTTGTTCTCAGTTCGCATGTCCGAATCATTTGCGTGCAATCACCTGTTGTACTCTGTTGTCTTTATGCTCTGCTTAAAAATGCCGGCACTTGCATAGCTTCGAAAGTAGTTTAGTGGTTCAGTAGGCTTCTGGCGCAATTATTATTTGCACGTACATATGTATGTGTAAATGTGTGAATTGACCGTAGCAATTGACGGCGGCAATGTTAGACTGAACGGCGTCTAATTATGCGCACATAACACTTTTCTGCAATTGAGAGGAGTAGTTTTTTCGAAAAAAGAAAAATTTTATTTATAAATTTTTTATTTTATTTTATTCTAAATTATTTTTTATTATTTATTAATATTATTTATTATGTTTATGTTTGGATGTTTGTTTAGCCCTCGCATGTCGGCATGTGGAAGCTGTGTTGATTCACAATACGCAAATAATTAAAAATTTCAGAAGAATGTCACATCAATGGCATATGTCATTTACATTTCAATTATCTATTGAAAAAAAATTTTTTATTGGGCTTAAATTTACGATATTCAAATTAGGCATTTGCACATCTGAGAAGCTGAATTTTTTACTGTTTAAACCGGATTATTAAATGCGCATCTTATTATCTCATCTCGTCATGATAAGTGTTTATAGCAAATATTCTTCAGCGCTAAGTGTAAACAGAAAGTTAAATAATAAAAAGATTATCAAATTGTCTAAACTCTTGCTCAGCCGTAACGAATGAGACAAGCACAGCGGCCATTTTAAGCTAAGAGTAGTGCTTATTCTGTAGCCTAAGTCTGGCTGGACATATTTTTACGTGGGTTAAATTTTGGTTGTCATTGGTAATACTGCGATAATGGGGTTTACATAAGTATAGAAAGTGCTGTACAATATTGTTACTTCTATTAACACTATTAATGAGATATGAATAATTAATTTCAATAATGCTCCATCCACTGTTATTAAAAATTATTATATTTATTGTTTTTAGGATTAATCATAAGAGCTTATTTATTAAACTAAACTAATCTAAATGATTTTTGTTTCAGTTTTATTCTTAATTTAGTTGATGTATAAAAGTGTTCACAAAAATTTAAGCATGTTCATGTCAATTTGGCGAGTTTTTTAGAATTTTGTACTAGCTTTAATATAAAACTTAAAATTTTAATTACATATCTATAAAGTTGAATCTATAGTTAGGGCAAATTAATAGAGTATATTGGTTCGCACCCATGTAATGTGTTTTGCCACATCAGTATATATAACAAACTGATTAAGATTACATCTACCCAGCACTGTTTGGCCTAACGATACAATTGCTCTCAACGTCCAATGATTGTCTCTGCGTAGTATGAGACCCGAACCGGAATCACCACTGCAAGGTCCACTGTTGTCTCTATTCCCCGCACATAGTGTGTTCCTAGTTGTCATTTTTCTGAATCCATCTGCTGACTGAACGCATTCATCATTATCAACGATTCGGGCAGAAACGTATCTAGGTGTTGGCGAGGTTAGTACATTGTTTTCCAATGATCCCCAGCCAGCAACTATACCTTCTTGGTCTTTTATATAAAATAAATCAACTTTCTCGGTCCACAAGCAAATTGGACTAATATTATCATTAAATCTGTATAATCGAACACAATAAGAAAATACATTAGATATACTATAGCTAAACGAGTGTTTCTGCGGTATATATTTTATATTATATGTGCTTAATGGCTTACCGTATTGTTGTACTTAAATGCACCACAGCGATATCTGCATCTGGTAACTGTTTTTCATTATAATTGGGATGAGTTACAATATTGTCTATTCTCACTGCTATTGCAGTGTCCCTTGAATCAGTGCGATTGTAGCTTCCCAGTTCTATAAATGCAGCATTTTTGTCTATATGTTGAAGTAAAAAGCAATGTGCTGCAGTAATAACTGTACGCGCAGAGATAAGTGATCCACCACATATGAAATGGGGACCATCTGCTTCTCTGTGAAAGACAGCTGCCAACCAAGGGAACTGGCCCGGCTTGGCTTCTCTGCCATGATGTATGAAAGGGGTAAGTTGACCAATTTTGCGTCCACATATATTGTTAAGATCGTCAGGAATTTCAGGTATTATTGGTTGTGGGGGTGGTGCTGGAGGTGCTGGCACTGGTGATGGTACTGGTGACGGAACTGAAGGACGTCTGCCTGAATCAGTCCAGCTAATGGTATGCTCCGCACTGAATCTCATGCTTCCGGACGAATCTAGATAGAATCAGTAATTTTAACATATGACTAATACATATGTTGAAGAAAAATATTTACCACCGCCAGAATTGCAAATTCGGTTGTTGTTTACATTGATTTCCTGAATTCTAGGCAGTTCGTTTTGTTCAGGAAATTTGAAGCGATACATAACAGGTCGACCATTATTTATGTCACGCACTGAATCATCCAGGCTTTTGTATAAAGAAACTCCAAAGTTTCTCTGCAAACATGAAAACAAACGTAAATAATCACATTTCGAAAAATAATAAAATAAGTAAAAAAGAAAGAACTCATGGATAAATAATAATAGCCATGAGTTTCATAGCAATTCATATTTACATGATTGAAGATGTTATTCTGTATTAGCTTCCCTTCTACCCTTAGTTTGCCGCCGGTGAAAAGTTGATTCGGCAGGGTTATCACACCATAATTCTCATTGTTCGCTCTTTCATATTTGAAGTAACTGGCGCAACTACCTGAAGAACCATAATTTGAACCACCGCTTGAACCAACGTTTGAACTCGGTGGCGGGTTAGGCGCTGTAGCAACCGGTCTTCTTCCCGATGGATATGATATTGTGTGTTCGGCATTAAAATTTATATTGGGAGGCGAGTCTAAGCAAGAATCAAATCAGTAATTAGTTGTAGTGATTTACTTAATTGGTTTCTGAGTTGACTTACATCCACTGCCGGAGCAAATTGTTTCCCCATTTACGACAATGCCAGTGAGTTTCGGAATCTCACTCTGTGTTGGAAAGTTGAATCTGTATTGAACACTTTCTCCGTTTTGGATATTCTGCACTGATCTGTCAAGGCTTTCGTAGAGCGCAAGTCCAAAATTTCTCTAAAATAGAATTGATATTTAAAGACATCGCATTTTATTACAACTGATTGGATACAAAGACGAGATGGGAATTTTTACTCATCGCAGATTGTCAGCAAGAAACTAATGAAGTCATTTACGTGTGCACAAATAAATCTCAACAAAATAATAAAATTAATTTCAAATTATGAAAAATTGATAAATGGAAATACTAACTAAGTTAGGATTGGGTAAGAAGGAGAGACGAGTAAAACAAGTATTGATGATAATGATTGCTGCGGTTTCATATATAATAATTAAAATATCTGACCCCGCAGCGCTTAACGTAAGCAACTCGCCAGAACATACTATGTTTGTTGTATGTCGCTTAGATTATAATTACAGCGCTGATAATACCGAGATTCCATTATGGATGCGAAAAAAATCGGAAAAACCAGCAGAAACGAATGAATACTATTTATTGGAAAAAATTCTAATAAAGAATGTTCAAAATATGATATTTTTGGTTCTTTGTTCTTTCAGTGAAAGAAGCAGTTATTTCAATATGTAATCTTAGATGTTGACTTAAGTTACTTGACAACTCACGGCAATCAATTCAATAATTACCAATCGTCATTATCAAGATCGTCTTTAGTATCAAATGTATATAAATAGATAAAGTTTTCAGTTATTTAAATCTTCGATAACAATAAATTTATACTTTTGATTTATAAATTTATAAATTTTTTAATTGAAATCGTCAATCAAAAGTCTACTTACGCCGTTAAATATTTCACGCTGAGAGAGTTTTACGTTTACGTTGAGACGTCCTCCAGTGTATAGACTGTTCGGAAGTGTAACTAAACCGAAATTTTCATTATTTGACCGCAGGTACCTAAAGTATTGGGGACATTCTATCGGTGGCAGTTGTGCGAAAATGACGGGTAAATCCCACAGAAACGCAGTCGTGACAATTAACAAAGGCAAACGCAGCAATCGAAGCATCTTCGTTAAAACAAGATGAAACACAAAATACTTAAATTGCACACTTTAATCAAAACACAAGGTAGTATTCAAATTAATTATGAATTTATAAAATTAATTCGAAAAAAGATTTAAAAAGAATTTAGAATTTAGAATTATACGCGATCACTGTCTTCATGAAATTTCCTACTAAGCGTGAAGCGCCCGATCGACGCGAACACTGAGCACTGATTGAAAGCTGCGAAACTCGTTGGATTAAGGCAAGTTTCGGTTTGAGCGCACTAAGGTTTCTGCTGTGGAATGTATCTGCTCAGACGCATTTATGCACGAACTAAGTATCTAGTAAAATTACGCTTTTGCTCTGGCGTAAAACCAAACTGTGTGAGAATAAGAATGTGCGGCGTGTGTTAGTCATGGGTAAAACAAAGTTTTCAAAAATACGCGATAAGCTCGCAAATAAGCTGAAGAGGAGTGCAGGCGGCTTTTGTATTAAAGTATAATCTGAATAAAATTATAAATTTTGTTCGTTTGTTCGTACGTTCTTACGTTCGTATTTCAGGTTCATTGCAATAATAGATTAGAGTATCACTAACATAACATCACTTCAAGAGCAAAGGTAAACTCTTGCACGGCGAACGTGTGATTAGATTTTCCCACAACTTTTTTCGTTAGCAATCACATTTGGATTCTGTGTTGGGTTTTATTTATTTTATTGGAAGAATAATTAAAAAAATATTAATAAACTATATCATCAAGTTTGGAAGTGTTAAAAGAAGTGTAATTTGATTTTAATCTTAAAAACTCTGGCATGAGATTTGTGAGGAAAATCGTAAAACAAGAGGCGTTCAAGTTAAAAACAACATATATCCTTGACCGAAAGTTATAAGTTTAACAATTGATCGAAAAATCAACAAATGAATAACAATATACGTGGTAATTTCAAGTACATATAAGGATAACACATGCCCCACAGAGTTTTAACGCTGGCGATCACACATTCCAAGGTGTTATAAACTTGACATATTTGATCTAAGTGTTATGGCATAAAAATATTACAAAAATGTGATAATACAACCAAATCAAACAACTAACAGATAGTATTCCTCAGAACTTAATCTGAATTTTCTATTTAAAAGATTTTCGTCTAATAATTCGTCTAGAAAACCAAAGCTGGTATTTAAATGGTATTGGTATTGAAAATCAAAAAATCTATATGAAAAGTAAATGAAAGTAAATTATTAAAATTATATAAAATTGAGATTTTGTCAAGCGGTGAAGAAGCAACTGAAATCTATAAACTAAGCTAGATCGAATATGTGATCAGAATCGGTAACTTAATGCATAAATTTTATGAGCAAACATCACGAAATATCAGATTTCATTGAAGATATTGAAGGAATAACTGATGTTGGTAAAAGCAAAAAATGTATATAAATTTGCGTTTAGTTATTTTCGTGAGAATTCATTCTCATTAAATTAAATTGTACCTATTTGTACTGTAAACGTTAGCATAACACAAGAGTTTGATATAATTTGTCGCTTTTGAATTATTTCAACAGTTTTTCTTTCTTGGGTGGATGATCTATCAGAAGTATCATACATCACCCCTCTTCTCAAACTGTAATTTTAATTTTTTTCTTTTGAGTTTTATATAAGATTTATATGATTTTTTAATAATTGTCTTTTGAAAATAACAGAATTAATTATTAAATTAAATGTGACATATTTACTATAATTATTAATAACAAATTTATTTAGATGCATTGATTCGCTATCGAAAGTCTAGTCCTATTAAGCAGTTCCAGTCAATTTTTCTAATATTAATAAGAATAGAAAGATTCATATAGTAGTTGGAGTTAGTTAAGTTAGTTTTAGTTTTGAGGGATGAATTATTATTATTACTTAACTAAAACTTTGAATTGCTATTGGTACAACAACAATTATTGTAGCTGATGTGAAATAAGGTCTGGTAACTACATTAATTTCTATGGTCAATATACGAGTATAATGAACTCATTCAAAAAATCCTAATTATCCAATAGCTAATACAGCTTAAATTATTCCTGGTAAACGAAATGTTTCTTTTTCCTGAGTTTTGTCTAAAACTCGTATGTTAATATGCGAAATTATTCCAAATTCCAATGACGTAAACGCATAATTCAATTAATATAATATTGGTGAGCTTGGAATAATACAACGGGTTGAGAAAATCTTCCTACTTTACATATACATATGTATATGTAATTTATGTATATAATGGCTATAGTATAATATTCTATTCCACATAAATACGTACATATTAACATATTGCGTTATAGAATGAGAAGAAACGTACCCCTTATCCAACATAAAAGATTTATATATATGTTAATTAGATTATATACAATATACGAGCTCATAGGATGTACTTTGTAAAATAAGAGATGTGTTTAAATTTGCGTTCCATCTCAATAAGTTAGAAATTTATTAAAGTAAATAAACTGCACCTGATAACAAAATAAAGCAGTACTGCAGCTCATATATATACGAGTCGTGTTGTTCTTGGCTTGATAAGTCAACTAAGAACTTCTGCTGGTGTATTTGTTTCAATAACAGAGATAAAGACAAAAATTTCAATTCATTATCGATTTTGGGTTTCGATCGGAAAAACCGGAAAATAAGAACCATAAATATATGGTAGATTAAATACAATATTTTAAAATTTTTATTTAAATAAATTAAGGTAATCGAATTTCAATTTACCATCAATTTATAGTTGAAAAAAATATGTAAATAGGACGTCTACAAACCACTCTTATTCGGAATATTTGCAATATAAGGGATAAATGAATAATTTGTTGCGATCCCAAGGCTTAATATAATAATTTATAACTGAAAAGTTCCTTTAATAGGTTATATATATAGAAGAATGAGTTTCCTTCTTATAGTACGATTAATATCACTACTCGATTAAAGTAAACGGTACTATTAATATTGAAATATACAGGCTTCTGTGCACATTTAAAACGAGCTGTTGGTATAGAATTGGGACACTATATTGGGTTCAATAAATAATAATTAAGTTGATAAAAGAAATAAATTACGTTCTGGTGTTTTTAGTACCCATTGCTTGTTAGTACCCAATGCAAATACAGGGTTACAGAGAGTTTTGTAAAACTGCATTTAAACTAAATACAAACTGCAAAAAAATATTATTTCTGAATATATAGAATTTATACAGAATTTGTTGAATTTATTATTAATAATTAATAATATTGAATTAAAAACATTTTCCCTAAGTTTTTGTTTTAAGTTTAAAACGAGTATGTACAGCAACAACTGACATGTTAAGTATGTGATTAGGTCTATCTCTATATAAATAAATTGGTTGGGACGAGCTGTAAGCGGTTGTAATATAACATGCATTAAAGCTGAATTGTAGTAAAATATTTCAAATGAATATAAAGACATTTCAAATCTCTCTAAAGCAGTAATTTCGCCGTCAATTGAGGTGCATTTGAATCAACTTCTGCAGCATCCACATAAATAATTCTTGTCTGGTAGAACACGAATATTTGCGGACTGAGATCCACAAATCAGTGCATTGTTTTCGCTTAATATTGCTTGTTCGAGAGAGTTCATCTGCACTGTTACAGAGCTAAGTTAGTAAGTTCTTAAGCCATTATTGCTGTTATTGGGGAATGCACAAAGCAGTTTGACACTTGAGAGCTGAAACTCATTCAACTGCATCATTTCAGAAGATAACTACACAAGCTCTCATTTATTTACTTATCCACTACATTTGCTAACAAGTATTTTTGCACAGAGGCATTAATTCAATGAATTTATATTTAACACAACTCGTACAGGTTATGAAGAATCTATTTTGGGTTCTTCCCATTATTTTAAAATTACATACAACTAAGTGCTGTGCCACACTATGAGTTAGCATTTCCAGATGAGTGAACATTATTTTTTATTTCTGACTTCATACTTAGGCTTTCTTACCTTGTCTAGAAGTTTAAGAAAACGAAATAACAGACATAAACTTTATGGCTTAAGGTGCTTCTCCGTAAGCTGAGAGAAAACTAGTTTCTCTTTACATGTGAAAGAATGCAGATAGTAAAAAAAATACAAAATCAAAGGAATGACTTGTGGCTCCTATCGGTGTTTGTCTGTCGCGTCTTGCTTGATTTCTTATCATTCTGATATCCTTGAACTTTTCTGTGATCGCTATTATAAAAATAAATAACTAAGGAATAAAAATATGCCGCTTTACAGCTTATTTTAGAATTAAATATGACTATGTCCTTTCAGAAGCGTTTTTCGATTTGGATGTACAAATAATAAAATCTAAAATTAACTCTAATTTAATGGTAATGATGAACACAATTACTCCAACCGGAATATAGTTATGTGATAATGTACAATAAAGGCTAGAGTCAAACGGTTGTTTTAAGTAGCTCTTCTAGTCAGAAGTACCACATTAAACGTCAGTAAAGGCAGTAAAATAATTTTGTCTATGTGATCATGAGTCGAAACGATGAAGTACAGGTTAACCGTTTAATATATTAAGATTAAATAAATTAAAATGAAGAAACGAAATGGAAAGTGTCGAATTTAAGAAACTAATAGTGAAATTACGAAAGCCTTTAGATACAACAAATCTAATTCGGAAATGTTGTTTAATAACTGTACATTAATTTTGCCAAAATTATTTTTAAAAAATTTTTAAAGTTCCCATTTTTATTCACTTCTATCGCAAATACCAGTATCTATCGCAATCCAGTATATGAATATGATAAGCCCACTAAACTTTTTGCCATTGTCAGAGACATCAATTTGGAATCAATAATTACATGACAGCCTTTATCTCAAAATGTACTGCAATTCATGTTAGCACTTTCAGCGTAGATCGTCGAGTATTTAGTAAGAAATCGAAGCTCTTGGTGCTGAACTAAGATGGAGCTTTACTTGAGTGGAAGCTTTCATTTCCGTTAAAATAAATGTAATGAGTACCAAGCCAACAATTAGCTACAGTAGCTCCTCTCTCTACATATTCATTAATCAGATTATTTTTAATAACATAAAATAAAATTTTAGCCTATGTAAGTACAATATATATATATATTACCAATATTACCAATAATTAATAACATTAAATATTTAATGTTTTTGGATAACTAAATTATTGCGAAATGTTTTTGTATACAGTGGCTTACTCAGGGCAACGTACGACAAAGTCTATTGTATATTCTGTTCTCAATACAAAATTGTTGTTATATAAATATATGTACTATATACTTTTATGTGTAGAATAAATATATAGAATATCGTAATAATTAGTCCACATTAATACCTTGTCTAGGTAAGATCGGGCTTAAAATCAAGAATTTTAAATATTGTCATTTTTCGTTGAAATAGAAAGAAGTTTCTGCTGCTTGGCACTTCGGTTGATCAGTCCATAGGATAACACACTGGTAGCCATATAATAAAAAGTGGCTTTTTATTGCTTTTAAATAACACCTGACAAAATTTTATGACATTTAAACGATTATTTATTTAGTTACACCTGTTTGAGTGACTCTAGTTTCATATTTTCAGAACAATGGGAGAAAACAACGTGACAGCAAAAACTTGGCTTGAGAAATGTTACCGAAATCTGAAGATATATGGTATGATAGTGAAATGGCCTGTTGTCTTTTAAACATTTGTCTGTAAGCAAAACAAACAATGTGTCGATATACTGAGGGCTATTTGGAGCTATTGAAGCAAGATAATCGAAACTTGAATCCACCATTTCACTCTAGAGTTGAATTGGCTCAGAACATGCAAAAACGTTACAGATTGTTTGCAAGGTTATGACACTCATATTTTTCAGAGCGCGTTTAATTTTGTTCATCAACTGTCATGAAAAAGACCAGACCATCGGTAGCGACCACAATATGGCCTAAGGTGGAAATCGTGAAACAACGGTCCATATGCAGAAAAAAAGCTTATTTCCCCAAGACAATGCCACGAGTCATGGGTTTCCATTGAAAAATTGCACGAACTACAGCTTGAATAGCTTCCGCACTCACCGTATTTGCCAAATTTGGTCCCCAGCATTTACTATTTGTAAAAATAGATTTGATTTCGATAGAGAAATCATCGCCTAAACAGAGGCATATTTTAAGGTCAATGATAAATCATTCTGCAGGAAAGGTATCCAAATGTTAGAGAAGCGCTGTAATACTCTTGATGGAGAAATATTATATTTACTCTTAATAAAAATAGTCGAATTACGCTAAAAAGTTATAGTTCTATGTTCAATGTAACGTTATGTCATTTCAGTTCTAATAAGGTTTGCAGTTAGACAAAATCAAGTACCTATTTCTGATATTTTGAGTTAGAATATGAGGTGCTTAAGGTATTCTTAGTAAAATTTATAAACTCTGCTGCATTTGATTTAATACAGCAATAATTACTAATCGCCTCTCAAAGAAGAATAAACCACCGAACCAGTATTTTTTTTTCAAGACAGGTCAAAATTATTTTTTTAAGAGTCTGGTGAGAACTCCATAATAAATTTATGAATTTCTTTTAATCATTAATTTAAATTTAATTGTTTCTGAGATAATTTAACTCTAACACTGCATTTCTACCTTCAATTCCAATTTGTTTGACTTTGAAATAAATATTGATATGATAAATAAATATTGAAATAAATATCGTTTACAATGTAAATTATTTCTCAGAATAGTTATATTTTTTAAAGGTAATAAGAACTTTTACAATTTCTAACAGTATTTAATTCATCATTATAAAGCAAACATCAGCAGTAGAACATTCTACATTCTGTGATTTGAGGATTTTTGGTAAAACATTAAAATCTTCAGTTAGTAGTTTGATTTTTTATTGTTTTTTAAACAGGTGGGATTCTATATTATATCTCAAAAGCGCCAACACAGGACCATTGCTATTGTTAATTTAATTCAATTAACCTCAACAACATCGCTTTGTAATGATATCGGATGCAGATGGCTTCCTCGTTTGTTGTACATTCCAAGAATGCCAGCAACTTTGAACTAGCTTTTAGAATTGCTTAAAACTTATTTCCTTTCAAACTAAGATCACAGGTATACACTTAAATCGTTCGTACTTCTATTTAAAAAAAAAGTATATAATAGGACAACGAATAAAAAATTATATTTTAACTTAAATTTGTGCTAAGCTATCATATTTTGCCTTAGCCACGGCATATGTTTTGCCAAATCACAGTATATAACGTATTGCCTTAAATTGCATTGACCCTGACTGGTTTGACCAGCAGAAACAATACCTCGTAAGACCCAACGCCTATTACGTAAAACCATTAAGCCGCCACCTGAATCGCCAACACATGGTCCAGTACCGTCTAAGTTTCCAGCGCAGATTGTTCGAGGTGAAGTTAGTTTTTTAAAAGCTTCTAAAGATTGCAGACAATCAACCAAGCTGACTATTCTACTATCCACCATTTTTGGTGTATCTGATACTTCTTCTCCTCTCTCATTAGTACCCCAGCCACCTACATAACCCTTCTGTCCTATAACTGCATCATCATTGGGTTCGTTCCACAGACAAATGGGTCGTATAAAGGGAGTAAAACTGAAATGAAATGTTGCAACATTACTCGTAGGTATGACACGTTATGCTACAGCATATTATATTAGTAAATACCTGATTGCTTCGGTGAGTATTAAAATTGCTATGTCAGCATCAGGAAAGGATTCGGGTGCGTAGTCTGGGTGATAAATGAGCTCGCTGACTTCACGTGTTAAGTAACCACTTTCCATATAATTGCTGAGGTTATGTCTTCCGGGAAAAGTAACAAGATCTTGTGCAGTATAGCGATAATATTTGAAGCAGTGTGCGGCTGTGACAACTGACCGCGTTGATATCAGACTGCCGCCGCAAAGAAAACTTGAACCAGCAGCACTCTTTCGGTTTATTGGTGTTAGCCAGGGATACTTGCCACGAGGTATACTTGTGCCACCATGTAGGAATGGCGAAAATGTTTCCTGTTCTTCTCCACATATGGAATTAAGATTTTGTGTTGAAGGCAAGGGACGTTGCCTTGGCTGAATCGGTGTTGAAGTGACTGGACGGTTTTGAGGAATAGTTTGACGAATTGGCGGTTCACGCTGAAATGTGGTTTCATTTGAAAACATAAATTTAGGCAAAGGTTGATTATTAAAACGCCTTGGTTCTTGTGCAAAAACGTCGTTGGTATCTCCGCTCTTGAATCCATCAGCTATATTGAAATTATTGTTCAATGGTCTCACAAATGTTGTAGTCGTAGAATGTAACGTATGTTCCATATTCAGTATTGTACTTGGAGCAGGATCTGTAAAGAGAATTTATACATTACAGATGCAAATATTAATTTTCTACAATAGCACCACTTACAATCACTGGCGAAGCATATGTCCTCACCGTTCACCGTGATTCGCGTTAGTTTTGGCAGCACATTTGGCAAAGGAAAATCTACGCGATAAGAAACCGGAATACCGTTCTGTATGTTGTAAATAGTGGTATCACGATCACTGTATAAGGAGAGCTTGCCATAGTTACCCTAAAAGAAAGTAAATTATGTTAAAGGAATATTATTAATAGAAATACACCTATGTTATAGGTATAGTATAGTTTATAGAAATGCAACTGTATATTAATATTGTTTAATGTTGTTGTAATATATTAATAAAGTTTTTTTTTACTTCCGTCTTTACTGCTGAATGTGCTGAACGCGTATTTTACTCCTCATTATTTGACTATTATTTGTAACAAAATATATAATTCATAAAATAAGACACTTACTAATACATATGTATATCCATTTATGTACTATTTTTATATATGTGTAAAATGTGAATTCTACACAAAATGTCTATTTAACATATATAAAATAGAATGAAAATGACCCTTCGTATTCTTCCGTACACAACTCAGACGTCATCTTTCACAGAATCGTTGTCTTAGACCTCATATTTATTTGTTACTATATCATATGTTGTGTGTATAGTGTTTTTCCTGGTTGATTTCCTAGTGTTGTTAAATTTCGTTTTTTGTTTATTTCACTGAGGTAATTTAGTTGCGTTTTTATAGAAAAGCAGTATAAATTTATTTGACTTACTTATTTTTAATTGGTAAGTTAAATAAATAATCCAAATAAGCATTTTTAATAACCATTCATTCTTTGTCTTCTGCGAGGAGGAATTGTTTCTTTTGATTTGATAATGGATTCAAGTGCTCTGTAGCCACAACAAAAAGTAATATTGAAGGTTTCAACAAGTTCAAGTGTTTGGTGGCACCTTAAACAAATAAATCAGTACATACAAAACGAAAAATGTTCATTCATACTTAAATCGGAATTATTTTATGTGATCTATTATTTAGCCATATGCCATTCATAAAAACAAAATGAAAGAATTCTTAAAGCTTCTTAAATATATTCAAGTTTTCAGTTCAGTCTTAAGAACGCATGAGATTTTTCTTTCAATATATTATAAAATAAAATTATTTCCTGCTTTGGGTGCCTTTCCGCAGAGTTTACAAGTAAACTTATATTGTAAGCAAGTACTTTCTTCTATATTTCCAACTTTCTTCACAATTTTAGCCTACAGTTTTAATAATGTTTTCAACTGATACTATCTTTGGTGGAAATTTAAGGTTTTGAAAAACTAAGTTGACAGAATTATTTATCTGACAACTGAGTGAAATTAAAATTCATGAAAACATATGAATCAATCGGCAGAAAATACGTGGAACTCCTTATAGTATTTCACTTATTAAATATAACTATTTTTATAACTCAGAATCATATCTTGACCTTTTTTTATAAATGTAACCCAATGTAGGTTTGTAACGTTTTCTTTTTTCATTTCTCATCGTACTTGTTATAAGACCTTTCGCATCAGGACTTGTAATTTGACTAACAGCACAAAATCGATTAGCGTACAGATACAGCATTTTTATATTCACATTTTTATATATTCAATGTCTGTTTATGAAAGGCTACTATTCAAAGCTATTTTTAGTTCACCTAATAGCTGAGCAACTAATTTTCATTGACTCAGACAGATAACCAGCGATTAGCTGAACGGATTAGTAACTTTCAGTCGATAAGAAATGTTTGCAGTTTCTGCTTCTCCGATCCTGCGATGCAAGCATAACGAGTTCTCATTAAAGTGAATGAAAGTAGGGAAGAGAACATATTCATGTGAAAGAAAGAATCAATGTAGGAAAGAGAACGTATTTATGTGAAAGAAAGATAATAGGAAGTTAAAACAAGAGAGGTTTAAGAAAATCTATTATATCTCTTGAGTGTAAATACATTTCTGAATATTTCACTAATACTTTTTTAAAATATGTAGTTGTTTTCATGACAAGCGATAATAAATCTTGTTTTAATACAAATTCCCCTGCACATTTCTATTGCCAAGCATTTCTAATTTATTTATTGAAGTGACAAGCTAAGACATGCGATTATCGACTCAAGCAACTAATATTGCGTTTCTTCCTTAGTGTACTTTTGTTCATCTGAAGAGATAAGACGCTGTGTCTGGAACACCATTTAGAAAAGGTCATGAATACTGATAACTCAATAACTCAATAACTCAATGCACTCGGCAATGGTTAAATTCCGCAACAAACTTAGAAACTATTTCCGAGAAACGTATGACGTTGAGAATGACTTCAGCTAAGAACTGAGAACTTATAAATATTTATGATAACTTGAGATATTAGCAGAAACAAAAATCATCAACACTGAATAAGTTCCGAAAATGATTTTAATTTGTAATGTATTGGTGGGTATTCCAACTAAAGTTGTTTTGCGAACGAGGTTTACTAACAGTTAGTGCAGCTCGAAGGCGATATTGTATTCTCAATTTACAAAGAAAAATTGTTCAATTTTAAAAACAAATACTTTACATGCTCCGCTGTTTCTGAATATTTTAAAAACAAGTTATACAAGATATATTTGCAATAAATTAATCTCACTTCTAATACGATTATTAGTTGGAGAAAAACCAGCTCGAACTATTATGTTCCATACATAGAAAAATGTGAAGTGATCATTTCCGCTTTTTATACTGATTAGCATTCAGCATTTGGCTTCGGTTTCCCAAAAAGATGTGAAGAATTTGTGTTGGTTTTTGAAGAAGAAAACTACTTTATACATTAGTAAAAAAATAGTTGGAGTCACTGCTGTAAAAAAATCAATTCTTCACCCAAAATTAATATTTAATTTATTTCGGTTTATATTAGCTACACAAAATATTCAAAATGTCTGTATTCGAGATAGTAAACATTCTTTAAAACTATTGAAACAAGAGAAAAGATCGTCGATAACTAGGAACGTAGTGAACCAGAAGATGTAAATATTAATATTGAAAATGTTTAAAAATTTTTTTTGTATTGTGTGCTTTTAGAGCTTTTAGATAGCACTTTGATTTGCTTAAATTATATAAGCTAGGATGGTGAAGTTAATAGCTTGAGGTTGTAATTAGGGTTAATTTAATAAAATAGTTTAATTCGTTCAATAATAGTTCAAAAATAATATGTTCTAATAATAGCATGTTATTTATTTTCTTAAATATAATTTTATTCAGTTCTACTTAAAAGGAATATTCGAATATCTTCTATTAGAGTTCGCTTTGCTACACATAGGTGATAAGTTATAGCTCTATAAATGCTCTCTTAAGTATAAGACAGAATATATTTTTAGATAAATAAAAGTAGATTGGATAAATATTATTAGTTATTAAAGTAACATCATACGTACGTCACGCAGTTGAGCAAACTAAATTTTAAGCTATACTAGATACATATAATACCGGATGCATTATTTCAGAAATTTTCGTGAAATAATGGTGAAAGATTTCTGTGTTCTCTCATAATTGTAAGAATAGTCATAACTTTGACTATAAACCATCATTTCAACATTTCATAGAGAATAGAAGTTCGAGCAAAAATACCAAATATAATACGAATAGTTCGAGGACGTTAGAGTATGATGTTCATCAAGAATTACTTCTATATCCCTAAGTCCTTTTTATGTCTCGTAGCTTGACTTAACATGTTCCAAAATGTTTTAAAAATTACTGAAATTACGATTTCTTGTACCTTTATTTGTTTTTTTTTTTATTTTATAGTGTACTATATATTCGTATATACAATATTAACTGTAAACACCCATTAATGTGTAACTTATGAAAAGAATTTTCGCTGTCACTGCTACCGTTTCCTATTTCATAGCAAATTTCACATATAGAAAAATTTGTGAAATTTGTTCATATTATAATCCCCAATATTATTATATTATATAATATAATGTAATATACTATTATAAACATGTTCTATTGATTAAGAACCCATAGTACCCATAGTTTTGTTTGACATGAGATACCTGGATATAAAGTTATTGAATATTCGAGACTTTTCCTTTAAATAACTTAGCATCAATGATCATCAAAAATCGAGGTTAGATTAATAATAACGAATTTGTAATGCACATTCCTATTGATTAAAATGCATATTAGAAGTGCAATATATAAAAGTGCATTTTCAATATATGTACACAACGATGGTCCTTGAAAATTAAAATGATTTAATAAAGTTTTTTTTAACTACTAATATTATATACTTGTTTTACTTAGTAACTTCAAACTACCAACAGATAAAAATAATATTTATACATGTATTAAGTACAAGTTTTAGTACAGAAAGACCTATATAATATAATTCCAATGGCAAATGGAAATAAAATCCACTTAAATTATGGCTATTATTTATGTAACTATTATTAATGAGGGGACAGCTTATTGCGGGAATACCCAAACACTTACACCGATTCAATAATTTATTGATTTTATAATTGTTGAATGTAGAGAAAAATTAAAAAGAAGTGAAATATTTTTAGTTTATTTTTCTGATTACAATAAATTTAAATGAGTTATGGTTCGTAGCAGCGATCCAATCAACCAGGTTCAATATGGATTGCAATTATTTTTACTTACATAAACGGGCTCTCGTTGAGAAAACTGCAGCATCACATTTGTGGTTCCCTCGGAAACATTCGGAAGAGTTAGCTTTCCAATATATTCTCCACGCACTTGTCCATACTGAAAGTAGTTGGGACAAGCGATCGGTGGAACGGTAGGAGCTTGCGCGTAAACTGTTAACAGCTGACAACTGGTAATAATGTAAGCCAGAGAACACAAACACTTTAACATTATAAATTAGATATTTAATTTTAATTTTTGTTTTATTAATTTATTTTTATTTTAAATGACAGCGTTTAACAAATGATATAAACTCTTTTATTTTTTATTTCCAATCACTCGACTTGTCATGATCATAATTATTGCACAGAAATTATAAATTCTTGTTGTCTTTATTATTATAATTGTTGTAGTTAATGTTGTTGTTGTTGTTGTTGTTGTTGTTGTTGTATTGTTATCAATATTATTTAGATTACATAAAATAACTCAATGCCAAATTAAAAACCAATTAAACGATTTTCTTAGCACGACTCTGTGTTTAACTAAGCCACTTTGGAATTTCTATGGGGATTCACACGCTTTCATATTCAATAAACGATTCTGATCTTTACGAAAGCTGCTGAGCTAATGAGCATCCATAGCATTAGATTCTGTTAAGAAGCCAGTATATCGACGCTTGAAACTTTTATTTCTTTTAAGTTTTTTATAAAATTATAGATTTATTAAGAATTTTTAAAATGAGTTAAAAACAAAAAAAATAGAAAATTAAAATTTTTAAATAACCCAGCGAACTGTGTGAAGTTGCTGTTCGCTTAAGTGATCGCGCCAAACTGAAATTCTTTGCGATTAATATTGAGTTGCGTTAAAGCGCTTTGAGAGTCGAAGTGACGTCACAATTCTGGTTTATTTACAAACGAGCACTGAAGAAAAAGCAAATCAAATCTTGAGAATTCCATTAGTTCAGTTCTCACAAGATTGCTTGTTTTTGTCGTAATATTTACAATCAGTTTGATTGGGATTTCAGGTTTCAAATTGTTAAGAAACTGTCGTTAAAATAAATCATAAAATAATCCCAAACAATTGTAGTTTTATTTATTTATGTTATAATCCATTTTTGAAAATTTCAGGTAGAGATGTCAAAAATATTTTCTAAATGGTCTGATACTGACCGATATTCCAAATTTAAGCATAACTTGGACAACATTAGAAAATTTATTTTAAACAATAAAATGACAGATTAAATTATACAATTTCAGGAGAATGAAAATATTTTCATAATTAACAAATATAGTACAATAGAAATAAATTTAACATAAGCTTTATCGATGCTTCCATGTTCTCTTTTCACTTAATTTTATTATACATATATTATTTTCTATATTTACTATTATTATTTTTATTTAATCAAATACATTTTTTACGTGCTAGCACCAACTTGTCCACTTGGACTTAGACGTAGACGTAGACGTAGACTTCAAAAAAGTCTCTGTGGTAAAATAAAATTTTATTATTTGAACTTTTTTATCGTTTATTTTTTTTATTAATATTTATATTGTTTGAATATACATTCCAATAGAGTTTTTTCTCATACTCATTTCGAGTGTTAAGTGCTATCAGCTGGCACATTTCCTACAACTTGTCCTTTGTCCTTTGTTTTTTATTCTCACGTTTAAGTGCTGTTATCTAGCACTTTTGCTGTTGATCTAGTCTATATTTGTCTATATTAAATGTAGATATTTATGGTTGAGTTGAATTTATTTAAATAAGTTTTTTTCAGGCATACACAGCTTTATAAGTTAGCCAACTTGATAACGATGATTTTTTCTATGCTTGCTTTGGATATTTTTGTATCATTTGATAAAATATTGAATTGTAATCTTGTGAGGTTCTTAGTATTGAAATTTAACTATTAAAAAAATAATATAATTAATTAATTCAATTATTCTACAACTGGTTTACGATTTAGTTCTAATATAAACAGAACAAGTGAATTTGTTAATAAAACTTTCACAGCAAAGTAACAAAACTCAAGAAAAATGTGTGAACATAAAAGTCAAGTACGGCTTTGGGTCAGTTGGTTAACGTGCGCTGACTCTGTGCTTTAAATTTGGCAGGACACGAGTTCGATTCCTGGTACTTGCAGTCTCAAATAATTATTTACGAATAATTAAATACAAGAATTATTTCCAAGACCACTGATGATGGGTATTTGGCAATACTCGAAATAGCTGTGGGGCCAGCCAAAAATTCAATTAATTAAAATAATATAAAATTAAGTTTTGTTTTTGTAGTTCACTACTGTTCAAAAAAACCTCTTCATGAAATATACTAGTTTCTATTAAATAATTTATAAAGAAATGATAAGCTATAGAATATTTGATAAAAAATATGGAAAGAGTAAATCAATTATATAGCTCGTTTCTGAATGTTGTTGTGTGACTTAAACATTTCTTATACGTATGTAATGCCACATTTCTTTAAGAAAATATTAAAAAATTTGTTTTACTACTCAAACAATATATATTGTATATCCGTACATATATTATAGCTAATATAATATTAATATGTAAATCTCTTATTATTATGGAAAAAATCAATTATTATTTTGTAGTATCATTGAATTATGAAAAGAAACTCGTTTTGCAGAAAAATTTATTGAATAAATATTGCGTAATTTGATAGCTCGTGCTGATCACTAAAAGTAGCTGTTCTGGAACTCTAAGCACAGATTGAAGATAGTTTCAATTGATACGGGAACTGCATTGATTAATAAACAAGCGAATAAATAGATGATTTCAGAGCACCTGTAATCTATACACGAGTACCACATAATCATTTGCAGTAGTTGTAAAAAATTAATTCATAAAAATGTGGAAGAATTTGTCAGAGCAGAACAAACGAAGTATGAAATCTTAAATTTTTAATAAAAACTGCGACGTTTTTCACTTTTTCTGTAGAAAAAAGCTGAGATACGAAACCATTTTCATTCATTCATGTGTGCGCGCACATTCATCAAACATTTGCATGCGGTTGAGATGTCAGAATGAGTCTCTCAGGGTATGCAACTGTGTGAAAGTGGGGTTGGAGGAAATGCAGTACTCATAACACGAACTGCACATATATGCATGAAGCCATACACAAACTTATTTGTAGAAATATTTTTGATTGTAGATGTGGGCAAAAAATTTTATTTTCATACGAGGGATGCACCCAAAGTTAATATTATTGTTTATCCTAATAAAACTTTCAGCTCAGTAGGTAGTCTTATTAAATAATGTTAAGTACCTTCGCAAAACCTATTCACTGCATGGACTCAGCCATTAAACGAGCTCTTTTGACAAATTTCTTTACTAAAACAGACAAGTCGAAAAATGACTGTCTGCTCTTACACATGCCCTCGACACAGTTTTATGACATTTAGGGGATTATTACTTCATGGACCTTCTTTATATTGTGAAAAATTTTTCAGACACCGTCGTCATCGTTATGCCTATAATGAACTTGCTAGGAAGGTATTTATAGTAGTTGAAAACAATCTCTATGAATTTAAATATAATTAGTTTGAGTTATAAAACATCGAAGATTGTGATCATACTTATCGTTGTTTGTAGTGCTGTCGAATCATGAGGTGCTGAAACTATTCGATGAATACAATTTGTGTCAAATAATGTGAATCGTTGAAACTATCCTGATAGATAGTTTCTATAAAATAGTATGATTGCTAAGAAAATTCGATAGTTCAAATTATTTGATGATATTTAGATTTGGTTTCGACTTTCGTACAATATTTAAGTGTTTATATTTCCGTTTATGAATGCCACAAATAGTCTTACAACTTAATAAAGATGATAGATAATTGAAGATAACGAAACAGTCATTTATGAACGCTGCACTTTTTTTCTTAAAAATATATTTTTATTGCGTTGAAATTTTACTTATCATCTACAAAATTTAATATATACTTTTATTTATTATTAAGGAGAGTTCAAGGATTTATTGAAAGATATATTTTGAGTTATTTTTTAAATACTTATTCCGTTACCCATTCCGTTTCTGCTAGACTACAATTAATTATAGAAGTTTAATAATATCAAATGACAGTCTAAGAATAATGAGTATTTCAGATAAAAAACTTGGCGGTATTATGAAGTGTGCCTCGCCTGTGTCGTGTTCTGTGCACTTTTGTGTGAATAATGATGATAAATACTGCCGCACACAACTACTGAGTTAATTTGAAAAGTTTTTTAATAACATAAATACTTTTTTAAATGATATGCTTAATTAAACGCAACTGTTTAAATGAAATAGGATGGATTGTGGATTGGATTGTGTAATTGAAACGCACCAAGAACTTTTGCAATAATATGGCAACACTGCAGCAAAGAAAATTATCAAGATCCTGCGAAAGGATTTCGAGGATGCTGGTGTTTTATTCATTTTGGTTGTGTTTGCTATCACTACATTTACGCATACGAAATAAAAAAAGTATTTATAAATAAAATAAATTTCCATTTGAATCCAAAAACTCACAATAAGTTGAGTTTTTCGGGTGTTTCTCTGCTTTGTGCTCAGCAAATTGGATTTATAAAAATTGATACAAGGAAACAAAATGTCTTTGTAGCATTTGATGAAATACTTTTTGATGATTTTTGTTATTTGCACACTTCGTACTGAGTTGCTTTGGCGCACTTCACTAAATCTCGTTAAAGTACCAAATCAATGCCTGCTTTTACACAAAGACTGGCAGCATTGAAAATGTAATTTAATTTCGTTTAACAATAATTTGAGATACTATGCTCCTGCTACTAAAGCTGTGGCGTCGTTCTCATTACATCCCAGTACTCATCAAACAGGACAAGTGTGAATGGGCACAACCGAAAATGATATTAGAAAACATGCTGTTCCCACCGACGTCAATTGAGTAAGAGACTCACCTGCAGTTAAATTCTAAGAAAATTGATTTTGAAGTTAGGAAAAAAATTTCCATTTGGTGCCAAAAGCGTTCCAGGATCCCAGAGGTGAACCAAGCTTTCAGCCATATTGTATGCACACAACATATTGAACGTTTTCTGCTGTGAGACTGTAAACAGGAATGTTAGTATTAACAGGAGTGGAGGTGTGAGTACGTGTATTGATACTTTCCGATTGGGGTGTGTCAAACGCGTGCTCATGTAAACTGTCAATTTGATGTTTGTGATTGACAAGTGTTCCGTCTTTCGTCGTTTAATCACAGCCAAACACTCTCTCACACACAATTGCTTTCTATGTGTCGTCGGTGTCAATAAACACACGCAATGTTTTTCCTTGGATGTCAAGAAAATTCGTTTAATAGCAAAAATGTGGGCAACGAGTTTGTGGGCTTGATCCAGATGTTATTCACAATGAAAAACTCAAAATAAGCAAATATGAACGGTAAAAAATTCAATCGACTACAATTGATTGAATGAAATGTGTCCCCAAACAACACTTACAAGAGATTCTCTTTGGCACTTCGTAGCTGCTTCAGATAATTTAAAGGCCTGATTTTTTGCCAGTGTTCTAGCTGGTATGATACAAATTAACTAAAGTACTACAGTACTGTAAGTGGTGCTACAATTCGTGACATGTATTCGCTTTTTGGACTTGCTGTAATTACTTCATATAACACATTACATTCTCAGTTACTTTTTGTATATGAAGGTTTAAAGCATGTATTCTTGATATGCAAAAAATTGTATGAGCAAATTGAAAATATTCATTAACGTAAACAAATATTGTGTATTCTTCTATCGATTAAGGAAGCCATACTAGTGCATCACAGTTCAAATTGAA